CGAAGATGAACGGAGGTCTTACGGGTTTGGAACGACATGAGGGTGAGTAATTAATGACAGAATTTTCATTTTTGGGTGAACCATCCCTTTAAGGGAAATATGTTCAATTTATATATAAAATATTTATATTTATATAAAATATAAATTCTATACAAGTATAAATATATATACATACAAATATTTTTTTAAATATATACATGTGTGTGTATTTGTATATACATAATAAATATACACAGTCCACACACACATTGTATGTAAAACATAACCTTTTATTTTGAATGCGATTAATCGTTTTGCAGCCCTATTGTAGTATTATTTATGTACTGTATATATTCATTTTAATTTAATTTTAGTTTTAGTTCGTTTTTTGGTATTTCTATTTAGCTTTATTTTTATTTATTTATTTTATTTTGAATACATTTTTTGAGTTTTTAATACTTAAATTTATTTTATGTTGGTTTCCAAGGCAACATTTCTCATTTTAAAGTTTTTCATCCATTGTTTTCTTTTTTCAGCCATATTTCAGTTATTAAAAAGATTTCCAGTAGTTTTCCAACTTATTCCGTGTGGTGCGGCTGACACAGAACAACATACGCTGTTTGCGTTAAGTGGATACTCTCCAAAATGTCGCTAGGGTGACGCAGAGGAGACGAATTGTTGAATAAAGTTGTTTTATTTTCTTCTTTTGCGCACAAAAAGTATTCTTGTAGCTTCGTAATATTACGGTTGAATCCCTGATGTCACATGGATTATTTTACCGATCTCCTTGCTACGTTTCTGGACGTTGATCGTGGTAGTACCCTTGCTGTCTATGGGAGGGACAGAGAGCTCTCAGAATGCATCAAAAATATCTTAATTTGTGTTCCGAAGATGAACGGAGGTCTTACGGGTTTGGAACGACATGAGGGTGAGTAATTAATGACAGAATTTTCTTTTTTGGGTGAACTATCCCTTTAAGAACTGCAAGGCATTTCTGTCTGTCGCACCTCTGCCGGTGCCACCTTGCTGCCTTACTGCCACCTGACTGGTGTTTTTGAGAAAACACACATACCGTGTTCTGTGACATCTGCTGGGGGGACTCTGCTCATTTAATGTGAATGATTGGCTGAAAAGATTTCTAGCATCAAATAGTTTACTCACCATAAAACAATACTAGCTCTCAGGGCCTACAAGACTATTGTTCGATGTTTAATCTGGATTTAAGCCATATCGCCAGTGGTTCAGAACCATACTTTTTCTAAAACATATTTCTGTTGCCTACAGTGCATGAATGAATATGAAGTCTTTTGAACGGTGTATAGGCACATGATATTTTAATGGTGGGGAAAAGAGGTGTTATTATATTTAAGTGCAAATATCCAACATGTCTTATTGACTAATTTACACGCTTCATGAAAAACATGTATTAAAAGGAAGTGTAAAGTGAAATGATTTCCTGCCTGGAACATATTTACACTAAAGGCTGTTTTATATAGGCTAATACCTTGACTGCACTTTATTCATTATTAAAGAACCAATATGTCTGAGAATCGGAAGTCCCCACCACAGCTAAAGATATCGTTTCAGAACGATCCGATGAATGAAAAAAAACATTGAGAGCCAATCAGAATCCAAGCTTTTAAAGGGGCAGAGGACAGAGTTGAACAGAAACATTATCGTTCATTGGTGTGGACGCTATTTAGTTTGTTCTTGGTGTGAACTGGCCTTAAGATATACAGTACACTTGAAGTCAGGGAGATTATTTCATTTAAGTTTCTCTTTATTTAAATAAAATGATGACATCACATATATGACCCTAAAATCGCATGTAAAGGCAAGTCACTATTCATTTAGATTGAAATACTTCAACCAGGGGCGTTGCTAGGGTCTGAAGAAATAAGAGGCTTAGCCCCTAAGACCCCCCACCCCATTACATGTGGGTAAATGACCAACTAGAGCAGCACGATTCTGGATAAATTGAAAATCACTATTTAAAAAAAAAAAAGATGGGTTAAAACAACCCAGCATTTTTTAGAGTGTATTAAACCTTTGACAATTGTACAACAGTGATGACAGCAGAGACAGCAGTATGTAACAAGTTCACAGTCTTTAGTCTAGCAGAATCGTTGTCATTAAGGAATCAGATTGTGTGGGTGATTCAATCAAGATCACGATCTGGTGATTTAAACAGAAAACGAGGGTTTCAAAGCTGCGTTTAGTGGAATGAAAATGTAAGGTGACACTTTAACTTTTTTTTGCAAATAGCACTGGTGCTACAGAGCTTGAAAGATTTGTAGCACTTGCAGGCCACACAATTGTAGCACAAGAATAAAACATGTTACCATCTCGAAAAACAACCACCAGTATTGCAGTTCAGGACATTAATGTTCTATTATTACTATATAAAAACATTAAACAAACTAAGAAATATCACTATTGTAATAACAGTTTCACTATAATATACAAAACAGAGTATTAAAGGATAACTGTAATAATTATTACATCATTGTATTTTAGAGAAAAAGTTTATTTTACAGAAAACTGCAGGGTGACCTGTTAACATGCAGGGAGCCATAACAATCAATCGTTAGAAATGTCTAAGGTTTTTATTATAAAATATTAAATTATTATGATTTAAAAAAAATCTGTGACAGTAATCTCTTAATTTTTGTCAGGAAATCTTATGCATCCACTGAGAGAAAAACAACTGCTGTAGGGGGAGACCGGGGATGGTTGTAACCATCTTGCAATTTCTCAAATAAGGAACAAGTTACAAATCAGCTAATTCGCTTTTTTATACTTCATTTATTTTTTGTGATGGCAGTCCCTGCTTTGTAGTTAAACTCATTAAACTTAAATTATATTTATTATGTGTCTGTGTAGAGATTTTTTCATTCAAGCTGTTAGTGCTAATGTTTTGGCTGTTCACTGTAAGGTAAGCTAGTTTACAAGACACTGGGTTAGTTGTAACAGCAATGAAACATGTTATAACCTACCCCAAGCTATTTTTTTTTTAATTAATGCGTTTACTTTGATTTTCAGTATGCCTAGGTCTTGGAAAAGAAAGACAAACTGAGGGGCATCTCTCAAAGTTCAAGTGTTCAAGTTCAATTTTATTATGGCCAATTACTATGAATGACATTAACAAACATTATTAAACACACACACACAGTGTTCAATTGTTGGAGCTGGTGCACATTTGCTCAAAAGCTTCCATAATCCTTATTGCATAATGTTACATCTTACCCCAGGGTATGTTACAACTAACCCGGACTATATGAGGTGAATTGTAACATTTCACTCCTTGCGTTTGAAACTAAACCATGCATTTTCTGTGTTATGCTGCAAAGATAACAGCTACGCCATTTAATAGCAGGCACTTGTGACTAGTTTGAATCACAATTTGAACACACCGATTTACAAGAACTCCAAGATACAGACAGAAATGTCAAAAATGTTACAACCATCCCCAGTCTCCCCTACTTCTCTACACTGGAGAAAAACGTATGAATATGGATGTTTACTTCCAATTTCTTTTGGAGAAAAGTGTTATTTTTCCTATTTTTACCCAAATAAGGAGTTGTGTGAACAGTAGTGAATACACACACATTGTAATGTCTGTTTCGTTCATACTGGTATCCGGAGGGCGTCCTCGCGCAGAAGCTCCACAAGTGAGACTCACTGAAGTAATAGAACTCATGACGCTCCAGGAAATCCCTTATATTGACAAAGTTTTATAAATCCCTAATATATCCAGCAATTGCTGTGACTGAATTAAATACAGATAGAGACGTTTTACCTGATGACACATACGTGACAAACATACGTTTGCGACATTATATGGTTTATCTGTGTTCTTCAAGCCACCTCGGGCGTTTTTTAAAAATAAAAATAAAGTGTATTTATAATGCATGTTAATCGCTTTCTATCACCGTATTGAATACTATAATAGTATGATTTCTGCCTCATTCTCTGATATGAAACCATGTCAGGAAGTTATTTCAAACGCTCGACTGATGTTAAGTGAATTTGGACAAAAAAAAACATGTCATTAAATGTTCTCTTTGTTTGACAACAGATTTGTAAACAGGCTCACACAGCGCAAAAAACTGAATCGCATGCGTGCTACTAAATGTATTCATCGCACAGACTGATTTTTTCGTCTATGTCGCACTGTAAGCGGTAGCCTAATCTATACAGCCAGCAGCGCAGACTGTTTTTCTTCATGGATTTCTAACACTTGAAAAACAAATTAAATGTTTCTAAACATATTTTATTTGGGAAGTAAAACATGTTCATCTTCAAGATCAGGGGCTTAAGCCCCCCAAAGCGCCCCCTTATAGCATAATTAGTATTTTTTATATTTCCTTTATGTTTATATTTTTTATCACTGAATTTGATTTTTTCCCCCCATAATTTTCTTTATTTTAAGTTGGTACATTAACAACACCATAAAAGCACATGCACAAGCATTTAAAGCATGTGCCTACAGTATATACAAAATATGGCTGTTTTGTCAACTCTGAATTTAACAGATGGAGCTGAAATCTATTTTGAAACCACCCTGCAGACATTCATTCACTAAATGCTAGCTTCAGCATGTTTATTACATTAATATTTCACACGTTTGTTATTTGACAGTGTTGACTCATTGAGTGACTGGCAAGGGAAACACATTTTAAGAAAAAGGAATAATCATGAGAATACATTTATTAATTTTTTTATTATTATTGTTTTTTTTTTAAAGCAGACTGCAACATGGCAATTCAGTCAATAGATACCGAACCTCTTCATAAGCAAATTTCACCCGTGGCATCAGTACATATTTCAAGTGTTCTCCATGGTGTTAAGAAGCATCAATGTTCAGCTGTCTTCAAGCTCAACTTTTCTAGCGCTGAATCAGTTCAGTCTCCTCTCTGTATTTTCAGAGCACACCAACATGACTCTGGAAGGAAACCATCACAAGTTCAGCACAAAGCCTTGAGGAACACCAGCCTCCAGCATAAGTGATAATGGTTTCCTTCTCTGTGCACACCTCTGCACAGCGTCCCAACGAAAACTTCCCTCAACGAAACTTCAGCGACTGGCGCGTCAGTCCGGTAATGAGCATAAATGTGTCCTTCTTGTCCTGCTGAAGAGCCATGAGCGCTCTGGAAATGCCCTCAGGATCCTGGTGCAGCGAGAGGATGCTCCTGGCTCTCTCCGCCGCCTTCAGGTCTCCGGCTTTCTCGAAGAGTTTCACCAGGGCGTCCTGGTTGACGTTCTCGAAGATGTTCGGCGAGGCTTTCTTGCGGTGCGCCGTGCCGAATTTGACGCCGCTCACGGCGGCACTGACGCGACGAGAGTCTGAAGACGCGTATGAAGACATGGCGGTAGAAATAGACCGTTTTCGAGACGTCCTGTGTTTGATAGCAGCGGCTGTGCTCTCAGTGACTCCAGCATTGGAGAGAACAGCCGGTTTTATAGGGGACTGACCGAGAATTCCCTTTTGAGATGATGTCATATGGACGGCTAGTGAACGCCCATTCGCCCAACTTTATCCGCTGCGCTCAGGACGCGCTGAGGGAGACTGTTCTGACGCAAAGATGAACTTACCGAAGAATTCATTAATAAAGCGCACTATAAACGACCTCTTTTGAGTTCAGCTTTGTCTAACAGACTTTTTACAAGAAATTGCCTTATGACAGTACTCTAACGCTCCACATAGATGCCAATACATTTCCGCACTGGGAAGTTTTATAGAGTGGCATCAATTACATTATGCAGTGATTTTTTTGCAAGTTTATATTATATATATATATATATATATAATAACAATAATATATTTCTTATAAATTGTACCTCTATTGATTATTAATCAAATTTTTAAAAATTATATTGAGAAAAATATTAAACTATGTACCCCAGAGGATTAAAAGAGATTTTTACATTTTCTTTTAAAACTTTTTAAATTTACAACTCTTTATACCACTGATAAACAATATTTGATGGCTTAATATTATATTTTCCCCCCAATTCAATCAAACATTTTAATTGTAAGTCTAAATAAAGGAGTGTTATCATAATCATCATTATACATCATTACTGATGTGATTATATTAGGTTATGGAATATCGACTGTAACTCAAGTTTTGGGGTTTTCTTGTTTTACAAGACTTATAAAGTATGAGTACGAGTTTGTGTATTTTATCATATCTGTTTTATTGATGATGAGGGGGACACAGGGTGAGACCACTATATTGCTTAGTTCAGATGATTTCATCTCTACAAGTTTAGCATTTAAATGTTTTATGTCACCTGGGAAGTACCTGCATGATGTTCACCTTCACACTTCATGAACATGACCAGTGTTATTTAAAATTTCAGCAATAACTTTAAATATTTCATCACTTGTCTTTCTCCTGAAGGACATTATGTAGTATACGAGCTGTTTCATTGGCAGACTGCTATGGAGCTCATCAGTGATGCTGGTTTGGGAATGAGGAACAACATGCAACTCTCTCATTTTCTGAGATAATGTTCAGAAATAAGCACTGATTGTTCTTTCCGCATGACGGTGCATGCATTGTACATGTGTCATGAGAAGAATATTTTTTCATGGCATTTGTACAATATAAAAATGTTAATAATTTTAGCACAAAAACTATGTAAAATGTTACAATAAAAACCTATTATTTGGTTGACTACGTGAAAAATGCTACTATATTTTAAGAAACAATTATAATTTAACAATTAAGAATTACACTTTAATTAATTGTACTGTAAAATATTGTACAAAAGCATGAAATCAATATTATTTAAAAAGGCATATAGTAAAAATATAGTTATTTTTAATAAGTGAAAATAAAAATTTTCACAACCACAGCTGCCGCTTTTTATTTGACTGTTTTTTATTTCACATTGGAGAACTGGTGAACATGTTTCTTATTTAATATTCATTAAATTAATCTTTACATTTCAATTGTAGTAGATTAACAATGACAGAATATCAACAAATATTGTTGAAATAGGGCCTTTAAATGCAGTTGTATTAAAAAAATGTAATCACTTTATTTAAATGCTCTAAAAGACGTCTAAAATTGCCTTTCTGAAAATGAAATAAAAAGATTATTTCTTTATAGGCTTTTGTTTGGTAGGCTATTAGTTACATTAACAACAAAAATGGTCCATTGCACAAGATTATCCCAGTTATGAATTACACCAAAACAAACAAAAAAACAAAACAAAAACAAAAAAGCAGTTGAGAAACAGACTGTACTTTTGCCAGCTTGTGTAATCAAATTCCGTAATCAGTGTTTATATTTAGTTCCCACAAGTCATTCCAGTTTTCTCTACATATGACGGGAAGGGGAAAGGACTACTACAAATATGTATTTCACTGGTAAATGTGTGCTCTTATTCTGATACTCAACATTTTTGAGGAAACAGAACACATGAAGCTATTTTAAGTAAAGTTGTGTGGAGCAATCGTCAGGGGGAACAGCTGGGAACATTGCCTAGGCTCTAGGAAGGCCTTTATGTAAAGCACTCATAGGGCTCCAGTACTGTGGCAGTAGTGTAACATCTGTGAGAAAACGGTGAGAACCCTCCCAGTGATTTATATTAGAGGCAAAACTACATTAAACGTTGTACTGTTCATTCAGTAGAAGGAAGGATCACGTCACACTGACTTCCCTTTTGCACATTACAGTAATTACTATTGTTACTTAGAATTCTTAAGTTGAATACAGTCCCAGTTATTCACTGCTTATAATGTGGCTGACAGCCATCAACAGGAGGGCACTGTTGTGAAGTCATGACAACAGTTAATAACAGTGGCTCATCTGTCCCGACCAAATGTCTATTTCCTTTACATGCCCTTTCTCTTTTCAGTATTATAATCTTTTAGACTATTTTTAACTATTTTTTATTATATATATATATATGCATCAAGTCACTTGGATCGTTTTTAAACACTTGGCCAGCTTTGGAAAAGTGTACAAAGTTAGTGACTTGAGAACAGCGCTCTCTTGTGGCTGAAAAGAGAGTCACGTTTACTTATAGGTTAATTAAAGTTGATCAACCACAGTTTCTGACAGAGAAAAAACTAATTGCTAATTGACTAATTGCATCGAAACAATTAGTAATATATTGATTTTGAAAGTTAAACAATGTAGGAATTATCCCTGATAGCCACAGGCGCCGGAAGCAAAATAAATGTGGGTGGGTCCTCCCCCAGAAAACATTTACTGGAGTATATGCCATTTTCTGTAGTGTGCAAGGGCGTAGCTACGTGGTGGCCATGGGTGGCTAGTGCCACCCCTGATGAAAGCTTGGCCACCCCTCTGGCCACCCCTGTGCAAACCTAACAGGCGCTGCGCAGACCGATCACTGTATGACATCTTGCACCGCGAGAGCAGACGGCTAATGATGTCTGGGCAACAGTTTTGAGTATTGCTGAGCAGTGTAATATCTGTACAGGCACCATTCCCAAACAAAAGAGGAAGCTAAGCTCTAAGCTAGAAGCAACCTGTGTCATGTCAACAGTAGGAAGTCAAGCAGCTCTGAACAGCAAAGAGTTTTTCAGAGCAGGGATATTTTACCAGGTTTTGGACATGATGCTAAATGAGCTGAGGACTAGATTTTCAGAACAAAATTGTGACATAATGAGGGGTATCCAAGCTCTGAATCCTTCTAGTGAAAATTCTTCTCCCTTTTCACATCGCATATCACATCGGAAAGGCTTTTGTTTTAAATAAAAATAAAAATCAAGGAAATAATCGAAAAGGTGAAATAAAGTATCAGGTAGGGTTAGGTGTATCTGAGCAGCAGATGCCGATGCTTTGTTTACTTTGCTGTGTCGCGGGAGTGCAGCAGGCGCGAGTAGTGAAAACACGGAATGGAGTTTAATTTATATGGACTCTGAATGAGCCGAGTGGAATGGATTTGAGAAGTCTATTTAACAGCTGCATAACGTATTTTTTTAATGTTTGTTCATCTGCTAATAGGTCTATAGGACGTTTCCTATCAGATGTCAAATAGACGTTTAGAAAATGTCTTTAAGACATTTATGATTTATAATGTATGTAAAACTGACGTCTATAAGATGTTTGTAGTAGGCTACACAGTAGATGCTTTCCAGATGAAGCGATCTTTATCACATCTTGCAGACGTATGTGTGCTAGGACATTCACTTTTTAAAGGAATTTCAGCTGGGTTTAAACGTTTAAACTATTTAAATACAAAAAAATTCCAAGTTAGATGTGTAAAAGGGATGTGACAATACTTATTCATCGAATCCATGAGTCTTTTTTGGGTTTCACTGATGGTTTACACTGTGGGAATACATTAAGATTCTGCCTCAGGCCTGCATTTACTTGATAAGAAGAACCTGCTATGCTGCTAGAAGCAAGCATGATGCTTGTGACCTGTTTTTAGGATTATGTTGCCAGTCCCGCACTGGCTGAGGCGCTTTCAACCCATGAGTAGAGCCGCGTAGCATGAAAAGCCTCCACAGCGCTCCTGCACCACTTCATGGCGCCCTGCCGCACTCTCTGGCTAACTACGAAACTACAACCCTCGACCGTGAGGAAATAAGTCAGTCATACGACTCGAGCAGTGGCGTGCAACAGGGCTCGAGCCCCTGCCCTTTTAATCACTAAAGCGCCCTTTCGGTCTGATCTAGGTGCCCCCGGACCGCGATTGTGCCCTCGTAACGCCACTTCTCCCCTGCCCCTCCAGAGGTCTGTACGTGCACACCACTGAACAGGAGAGCGAGTAAACGATGGAAGAATTTCCATCCACAACTGCAGAGTACAGAGTCAAACAGAAACAATGCAAACTCTACATTATGCTGAGTTTGCGAAGTGAATTATGTTGTTGCACTCATACTGCAGGGAGATGTGACGCCATGCCGTTTGGTCAAGCTATACTGTACGTCCATTCTCCAGCTAATGCAGAAGTAGTGCATGTAAGTAGCTACACTGCACGGGGACAAGTGCTGACTGAGGGACAGTTAAAGCGGAGACAGTTAAAGGTCATATTAGTCAAGTTGCCATTAAGTCCTATAATCCATCACACTCTTTAAGGACACAAAACACTGGACTTTTAGTTTAGGACTTTCTATTACCTTGAAATGTTCATTTGTGAAATGAACATTACTTGGACACATTCACTTCTGATAACAGATCACTCTAAATTGTAATGTAGACACATTCATTTTCTGTAAAGCTGCTTTGAAACAATGTGTATTGTGAAAAGTGCTATACAAATAAATTTGAATTGAAAACACAAAATACATCTACATTGAATGTGATTTTGTTGTGTTGTGCAGCGTTTCTGCTTTGAATGTGGACAAATAAATTTGAACCCGTACACAACACGAGAATACGAGTACATAAACTCCAAATGTGTGTTTTTTGTCTACCTTTTCACCTTCATTTGAATCAACTCGTCACTAGTGAACAACAGTTCCCTAACAATGAATTAAAGAACACCTTTGGTTGGATCTTTTCAGCTGCTGTGCCATGGATTCCTACTATGGCCTGAATGTAAGAGG